GGGCAGGCAGCCGAGCCCAGGGTCAGCTCCGCGGCCTTGACCAGGCGCCCCGTGCCAAAGAGGTCCCTGTGCACCGTGACCACCACCTGCGCCTCCTGGCACTGCACGGCCACGGGGTGCAGCGGGGCAGCAGCCTGGAGCTGGGAGACATCCACCCATGCCCAGGGAGAGGGTTGGGACAAGGCACGGGGCTGCCCCGAGGAGGGATCCCCTCTGTACCTCCATAGCTCTGCCTCTCCTCTAAAGAAGACCCAGGGGTCGTAAGCAACCACCTCCCCAAAAACCCAGCAGAAAAGAGCAAACCCCAGGCTGCTTCCAGGCCTCATCCTGCCTACCAGGGTCCAGCACAAGGAGCAACTGCTGCCCAGGGACCTTTTACAGCCCACACCTCTCACAGCCGCTCCCACCCCAGGTGATGCTGGGCACACCTCCCATAAGGGCAATTGGCAACAGCTGAGAGCACCCAATTCCCTGGGGAACCCATCGTGGTGGGCTCTAATGAGCTAATGAGGTGCTGGATTGGGTCTCTCGCCCACAGGAGAGACGTTGAGTTTGCTGTGCAGCCAACTGCAGTTTTTTCCTCTATTTTTTGGTAACAACCAGCTCTGAGATGTGTCCCACCTTCAGACCATACGTCCCACCTCCAGATCATGGGGCCTTTCTGCAGCAGGGTCACGGGGGCATGGCGTGGGGGGTGGCACTTTCCCAAGGTAAACCCACTCTTCAGGTGCCCAAACTTGTCCCTGTCCCCAGCTCCTTCAAGGTGGTGATGATCCTCATGGAGCCGCTCAGGTCAAGGGCAAATGGGGATTTCCAGGACATGAGGGACCCATGGCTGGCTCTTCACTACCGGGCAAAAATTGATTTTCTGGAGGAAGAAGGGGAAATTTAAACTTGAATCAAGCGGACGAATAAAAGGAAAAGGGGGGATCGTGGAGGAGATCCCCATCGGTTGCCCTGAGCTGTATCCCTGTTTCTGCAGGACCAGACTCCACACAGTGGCGTCCGCACCTATTTCCTCATGTTTCCTTGTGTTTCCCGGGATTTTAGCAAAAGGGAGGAACACGCTTGTGCACACGTGGCTGTTCAACTGTTTCCTGAACAGACTTGTCCCTTGGAGCCACCGGCTTCCTGGGCAGGACTGGTGTTGAAACGGATGGTAGTAAAATAATGACTAGAATAATCCTTATCAGGAATAATATTAGAGCTTTTAGGCATTAGAAATAATAATTATTTCTAATAATTATTAGAATTATTAGACCTGGGGCAAAACGGTCCCCACAGTGTCTGGGCAATCCATCCCCCTTCCTGGGATGATTCAGCAGCAGGTTGTCCCCTCCGTGGTCCCCAGAGGGAGGGGACTGGGGCAGGTCGACCCAGCTGAATCACCCTGCAAGCTTCCTCGTGCCTGGTTAGAGGCTATAAATCAGGAAGAAGAGCAGTTTTTTGTATTGAAGTGACACTGGGGAGGAGCACGGCTTTGGACAGGAGTCCTTGTTTGGGGCTTTAGGGACAGCACAAGGATGTTTGCTTTGCCCCTGCCTCTGGGTGAACGTTGGTGTGCTGCTTGCTTTGCTCGCACACACAGGTGAGGACCAGGTGAGATGCCCATGAGTTTCGGGCGATAGCCGTGGCTGAATCAGGCTGTTTTGGCATGATCCAAACTGGATAGCTGCCGGCGGGCAGGACAGCTAGGCACCATCCGAAGGGAAAGGACTTGGGTTGTTCCCATGGGGAGCAGGCTGACGGGCTTTCTCGGTACCTCCCTGAGCAAACAGGACCTCTTGGTGCTCTCTTGCTTGTCTTCAAGCCAACGCCTATCTTGGGGTTAGCCACACGTCTCACGTACGTGGGTCACCCCCTGCTCCTCGTGCTTATCTCCGCTGCATCGTGGGCTCGAGGGGGGCATCACGCTGCAAAGTGCCCATCACCGCAGCACCCACCACCCTGCACATCTGCCTGTTGCGGGAGCGGGGAGCAAAAGGAAACCATCTGTAACGCACAACACATTAGGAAAATTATTTATTTCTTCTGCATCTGTAGGCAGGCGCAGGAGCCAAAGAGCAAGGAGGTGCATCCCCCGATCAAGCAGTTCCCTGGCTGTCTTTGAGCTTGGAAAGCAGGAGGAGAGGTAGGAAATCCATACCCCTAAGTGTGCCCACTTAGGAGGTTCATATCCCAGGCTAGAGGGGTTGGATCCTGCTGACTGAAGGAGGATTTTCAGTTCTTCCCACAGCCATGTCCCGGACAGCAGCTCACGGGAACAGAGCAGCTCTGCCCAACCTCCTTCCTAGCAATGACCACCATCCTTGGTCCTTCCAAACCAGTTTCCCCAGCTGCTGTTTCTCCAGCTGGCTTCAGATCCCAGTGACCCCTCCCAAACCCCAGACGAGAAATGGTTCAAAAGATCTCTCCCAAGAGTTGGCTTGATCCATCCAGGGGGGAAACAAAGGCACGGCGTGACTGCAGGGTGTCAGATCAGAGCCAGGACATCTCTGAGCCAAGCTGGTGTCCTCACCTCTTCACTGTAGCACAAGTTCAGATGAGAGAGGACAGCAAGAGACTCTCACACCCCACAGACCCAGACTCATCACCCCAGGCAGGAACAGGCAGGAAATATTGAAGGCACAACTACTGATGTGAGCCAGGATTTGGCTCCAGGACTCATTCCTTCTCACCCACGGGGAATGAGTCCTGGAGAGGCACTAGCATCGTTCAACACCCTTCCTTGCTCTTTACGGCTCTTGGGAAATTGCTTCCAGGGTCTTCTGGCTTTCATCCAACTGCTCCTCGCGCTGGAAGTAGACCTTGACCTTGCTCAGGTTTCGGACTTCCTTTTTGGAGTTGTGCCGGAGAGCATTGATGAGACGGCATGCTTGCTGGAGCCCCTTCTCGGGGTTGTGTTGGTAGCAGGACCAGAGTTCAGAGAGGCCGTCGTTGTGGGTAGCTAATGTTTGGGCTGATGGCTTGGTGAGGAGCTTCTCAGCCAGCAAGGGCTGGAGGGAGATGAAGGTCTCCAGGCTGGCTTGACTGAGGATCAGCCTGGGTTTGTTCACCAGGTTGACGTCCAGGACCTTGCACAGGTACTTCACGATGTTGGCGTTCTCCATGGTGCTGCAGTCACCAAAGTGGCACCAGAGGTAAGTACTGGCCAAGTTCTACAGCTTGTAGCTATCCCTCTTGGGGATCTCCTCCTTAATCAGGGGCAAAATGTCCAGGAAACCACACATGACCGAGCTGAACTCCTCTTTCTTGTTTATGACCGTTAATGCTTTCAAGAGGATGGGAAAGGGGAGTGACCAGAGACCAAAGCCACCCAGGATGGGCTTGTGGACAGTGTTGAGGTGGCACAGCAGATTGCTCAGACCGATCTCGTAGACTCTGTTTTCGGCCATCAAGCTGGGCAAATATTTCACTGGCCGAATCAAGACTGGGAATATTTTCTCTCCATCTACCACCGTCATCTGAATGCTTTTATTTTCTAGAGAAGAGGAGGGGGATTGAAGAAGGTGGAAAGGCAGAATTAGTCTCTTATTCAGTAGGAAAATAAAACATTGATTGAGTTGCTCAGCCTCTAACAGCCTTCACCATCGATAGCAGCTGGGGGACTGATCCATCATTTCACCTATCTCCACCATTCAGTCACACCCTCAGCTTCCAGCATCTCCAACGTCCTTCAGGAGTGCCCGTCCCATTAACACCAACACCTCCTGCACGGGGATCATCCCCCCCACCAGGAACATAAGGGCTTTCACAGTTTTTTGAGAGTGGACTAAGGAGAGGGGCTTGAAAAGTAAAATCCACCTCGCCCAAGAGAGATTGGCCCATGGGAAGGAGAAGCAGGGGAGCCCACGTTGACACAAAGGTGCAAGGGCTGGGTAACTGGCTGAGCAATCTCAGAGAAATCTCCCCCTGGCCCTATGGGCTCCACGTTCCTCCAGATGTCCTGAAACTCAAAGGCAAGGCCCCTGGGGAGCTCAGGATACTGTGCTCTCCCTTACACAGCCAAGGCCATGGTGGACATGCCTGAACTTCCCCCCCCTGCAAAAAAAGAGACACTGACAGATGGGCATCTGAGCTGGCTGCAACATGGGACCTCCCCTCTTAGGATCTTACTCAAAATCTTCAAGTCAAAGAAGACCAGGGATCCTTGTCTCGTGTCCAGTGTGTTTTGGCTGCTGATGGAAAGGCCCAGGCAGCCTTCGCTGGTGCTCTCGTCGAGCATGTAGCTGAGGTCATCTAGTAGACTGGAGTCCTGGAAGAGCACAAAATTTGCTTTTAATAAACGTCACAGGAAGAACCAGGGCAGCAGCTCTGGGCACTCATGTGTCCTGGAGGTTACCAAAGCTCAGGGATCTACTCAAACTGCCTGCTAGAGGACTTAGGGTATAATAAGCCCCTCTGGTTGGTCACGAAGATTTGCCTCCCCCAGGACCGCAAAACAAAGTGACGTGCATACTCCATGTACGTCCACATGGGATGGCTCACTTGGATCCTTCCCGACAGGTTTTCTGCTCAAAAGTGACAGAAAAGTTGGGGCTACCCAACATCTCCCCTCTGGCCGTGAGCCAAGGGCCTAACCCAGCAAACAGCAGGCAGGGAAGGGAAGCTGCTCATTTCTAAAACTTCTTCTGAAGAGCTGGTCACCAACTTTTGGACGCGCAGACTGTCATGTGAACTGCTCGGTGCTGCAAAGTAACAACGAAACGCCATCCATCCATAGCCTCAAAGAGGAGGTGAGGTTTTGGACTGCCTCTTCTTGCTGGCCTTCATTTTGGCTGCTCACCACCTTGGCATCACCAAAGATGGTATCTACCGAGGTCTCCAAGCTGCTGGGCAGCCCAGTTCCCCCAGAAGTGGAGGAGAGCTAGAGGGGATTTATTTTGGCACTCAAGAAGGATTTCACAAGTTCCTTGCCAGGTTTTAAGGGGGATTATGGGATGGTCCTGAAGGTCTGGAAGCACCAAGCGGTCCAGTCTCCATGGCTTAAACACTGAGCAATGCAGGGCCAAGCCCTCTAGCTGCACTCACCATCGACTCCTCATCGGTGCTGTCCTCCTCAAAGCTGTCCAAGCAGAGAATATCGCTATCTGCCAAGGTAGGAAAGACGTGTCACCTTTCGGATGTGGGGCTCTCCACCCCTGCGGTGAGTGCCAGGGCTGATGGTCCCCCGATCGGCATCACCAACCGTGCCGAGAGGTGGCACCTGGACAAGGCGGGTGGGGAGCAAGCAGGGAGCAACTGTACCCTCAGGGCCCACCTGAAAAAGGACTGATTCCCCCTCAAGCCACAGATACACTGGGCAGGATCCTTCGGGGGAGAGTGA